GATCTGCAGCAAATCCCACTTAAGTAGATAGTTGATTACCAATGAGCATATATGTATAAGGTAACTACCGGGTTGGGGGGAAGAACCATGCAAAAGTCTTAGTGGGAAAAATGCCAGGAGTTCACAAACAGCTCATAGTACCATCAGTAGAAAAACCTCATAATTCACAGGACATGGGAGCAGTAATTCTTAAATAAGTGTAATTCCCTAACCCAATATTCATTTTGTATTATCTGGAGACAGTTTTGGTTGTCTGGTCTCTACTGGAACCCAATGGATGTAGGCCACAGATGTTGCTAAGCATCCTACAATGTGTAACAATGAATTATCCAGTCAATAATTGAAAAGCTGGTTAGAGCAGTAGGGTCTTGCTCGGTGGGAGAAAATGAAACCTAGACTAAATACTGCTCAAAGAATTAAAACAAGATCTGAAAAGATAAAACTGTCTAAACATAGTCCAGGACAAATTTAATAACATAAAAAAATACAGCACCCTAAGATACAAATATCTAGCACCAAATTTAAAAATGACAAATCAAGCAAAGTAAGAAAATACAACCCTATCAAGAAAAGTCAAACACATTGATCCAGAAATGGCAATTAATAGACAAGTACATTAAACTATGACTTCTATATGATCAAGCTAGTAAAAATTTGAACATGTTCAGTGGAGACAATATATTGATTTTGCAGCCTGCCTTTTCAATTACTGATTTAGATTTCTAATAGGTTTTTAGTGGGGCCTTTAGGGCTATGCATGTCATTTTCAAATACGATATTTTACTTCTTTACGAATTTGGATTCCTTTTTATCTTGTTTAAGTGTTTGGGCTGGGACTTCCAATACTATGTTCAACAATAGGGACTGGGGATATCCTTGACTTGTTCTATATCTTAGAGGAAAAGCTTTCTGTGTTTTTTTTTTTTTAACTGGGTGTGATCTTAGTGTGGATTGTCACATGTGAACTTTATTATGCTCACATGTTTCTTCTATCTGCATTGTAAGAGTTTTAAAATATTAAATGGATATTGAATCAAATGTTTTCTCTGTACCTATTAGTATATTATTTTTAGCTTTCCTTTTGTTAATGTGGGTATTATAGTGAGTTGCCTATATTGAATCATCTTTGTATCGCTGGAATATGTTCCACTCAGTGATGACATATGATGCTCTTAATGTATTGTTGAATTCAGTTTGCTAAGATTATTTTGAGGATTTTTGCATTTGTAGTCATAAGGGATACTGGTTTGCAGCTTTTTGTTTTTGTGATGCCCTTGCTGCTTTTGGTTTCAAAATAATATTGGTCTCATAAAATGTGTTTGGATGCTTTCTATCATCAATGTTTTTTGAAGAGTTTGAAAAGGATATGTGTTAGTTCATCTTTGAAGGTTTGGTAGAACTCACTAGTGAAGCCATCTTTTATTTTGGGGGAAACATTCATTACTGTTTCAATTTCTTTGCCTGTAATTGGTCTGTTCAAACTTTCTATTTCATTCTGACTCAGCCTTGGAAAGATGGTGATTCTAAGATTTGCTTTCTTCTCGATTATCCAGTCTTCTGGCATAAGGATTTTCATAGTAGGCTCTGATAATCTTTGGTATTTCTGACATGTCTGTTTCATTTCTGACAGTACTTACTGGAGTCTTCTTTCTTTTTTCTTAGTCTCATTATGGTTTGTCAATTTTGTTTACCTTTTCAAAGAACAAGTTCTTGGTTTTATCAGTCTTTTGTAGTGTCTCTTTATTTCTGTGTTATTCACTTCTGTTTTAATTTTTATTATCATACTAACTTCTGGTTTGATTTGTCCTGTTGTTTTTCCTAGTTCCTTCAAATTGTAAAGTTAGATTGTTAATTTAAGGATTTTCTTGTATCTTGATGAGGATCTGTATTGTTATAAACTTTATTTTGATGCATCTAGTAGGCTCTAGTAGTCAATGTCTTTATTTTCATTTGTGTCTGGCTTTCCTGTTTTCTTTTTGTGATTGATTTCTTGTTTTATATCAATGTGATCAGAAAAAATACTTGGTATGATTTCAATCTTCATGAATTCATTGACATTGATATTATGACCCAATGTATGGTCTATCCTTGAGAATGTTCCCTGCATACGCTGCTTTTTTTTGCAGTGGACTACCCCTGAAAATGCTTGTTAAACCCATCTGGTCTAGTTCCTCGTTTAACGCTATTTTTCCTTGTAAATTTTCTGTTTGGTTGGTGTAAGTGATATAATATTGTGATGCTGTCAAGAGACAAGGATAATAAAAACTAACTAAATTAAACTTTTAGAAATGAAAGCTACAATGCCTGAGGTTTTTAAAAAAATGTTTTGGATGCAATTAATTGTAGATAAAGCAAAGTTGAGAGTACAAATTATGTTAGATAAAATACAGCAATAGAAACTATCCCAAATGAAAAACAGGGAAAAAACTTAAGAGCATCAACAAGCTGTGGTAAAATTTCAAGCAGCCTAATATATACATAGCCTGAATGTGAAGAGAAAGGAGAGGAATAGGGAAAGATTTTAAAAACAATCTATGGGATTTAGGACTAATAGGAATATTCATAGTAATAAAACATAAATGGGGAGGTGAAAGCCTCAATTTAATTACCTTAGCTTTTACTTTTAAGAAACTAGAGTAAGATCAAATTAAACCAAAAGTAATATTAAATTAGAAATCAATAAACAGAAAACAAAAAATTTCCATACTCCATTTAAACCAAAAGCAAACTTTTTAGAAAGATTAATAAGGTTAATAAACTTTGTCAGGTCAGTTAAACAAAATAAAAGGCATGATTTATATCAGGAATGCAAGGTTTGATGTTATTCCATCTTATATTCTCTGCATAGAGTTTGTTAGACTTCATACTGCTGATTCCAGTATTCATTCATTAGGCAAATTACTAGAACCATCAACAAATGGACTTGTGAACTCTTTCATATTGGCCTTTGTTTCTTTGACTTTATTGTTAGTTTAACTCTTGTTTACTTCCTGGTACTGTACACTGTTCTAGGCTCATCTTGCATTTCTCTTGACCTATCCTTTCTCAAAAGGAGTCCTGGTTAATTTTATTTGTAGAGTGGTATTTACAAATAACAATCAGTGTATTCTTATTGATATTGACTTATTGTTTCTGGATTCTCTCAGAGAACAAAGAAGGGTAAAATATGTATACTAAACCTATGTACATGTGTATTCTATAATTGTGTGCACGTGTGTGTGTGAGAGAAGAGAGAAAGAAGAGAGGGTGTGTGTGAGAGAGAGAGAGAGAGAGCAAGAGAGAGGAAGGGGAGATCACATTAATGTTTATGACTGATTCTGATAATTTTTAACTGAATATTGGATATCATACTTGAAAATTAGTCTCTGGATGAGGTTGTCATCATCCTCCAGTGAATTCACCCTATCTTGTAACTGGCAGCTATGTTAAGAACTGTTAATTTACTAAAAGACTGACCTGATTTATGATTGTGTCTCAGAATTTTATAGACTCATTCCACACAAGTTTTATTCTCACTCATGTTAATGTTTATGCTGAGTTTGTAGGGTATTTATAAAAGCATTTCCTACTTGGCATGTTCTGTACTCAAATGTCTATTCTCCATCACAGTAAGTCTGCTGGAGTTAACCTTCCAGTGTCTTTTGGCTAGATGTCTTGGGTTTTGTGCTTACCATTTTGAGTCAGTTTCTGGGAAATTAAACTGGTGTGGGAATGTCATACCCAAATTTTGCATTTCTCTTCCTTTTTTAATTTGTATAGTTCACTGTCATTTGAATTTTTACAATAAGTAGTGTAACTTTTGTAGCTCACTTTTTCTACAGCCTAGTAAGTGAATTTAGAAAACAGGAAGAGTAAGGAATGTAGGATGATTGCCAGTTATTTTATATGGACAGTAAGGTATATACTAGTCCATTTCACCAGGATAGGGGAATTTAGGAGGATCATGGGTGTGTGTATGAAGTTCAAAAATTTGAGTTTACTGATAGGGCATTAGAAATGTACAGCTCTTAAAATTAGCTCTCAGGAGAAATGGTAAACTTCAGATATGTGATCATCCTATTTTCCTTCTTCACTTTTAATTCCCCAAAGAGTGGACAATAATTGATTGTCTCTATCTACTCCTCAACCTTTCATAAAAGTGCCTTTTAGCTCATCTAATTCAGGATGCCACAGTTTTATTGCCAGGCTTCCAAAGCAGTTTTCCTTTCTATTTTTTCTTTCCTCCTCTTAACCTTAGACACTTCTTAAAGCAACATGTTCATGCTATTCCCTAGTTCAGACCTTATGATTTTCTATTACTACAAGAATAAAATGCAAGAATATAAAATGTACTCTCATCATACTTAGTACTTACATGTTTTACAGATGAACTAAAACCCTAGAAAGTTGAAGTGTAATCCTTAACACTCTTCTCTCTTATTTCATTTTCTATTTCCAATTTATTACTCCTATATGTTTGTAACACTTGAACTTGAGGGGAGGTACCTCCCTTCTTTTGTAATTCTGCAGCTCAGTACAGTGTCTGCACTTTACTATATTGAGTTAACTAACAACTAAACACCATAATTCACATCATTTCGAATACTTCCTTCTGTATCTTTACTAACCCCTCCTTGTCTGTGTGCTTCTACTCAAAACTCAAATGTCATGAGTTCTACAAAGTTATTACTTTTCCTTTCGATCAAAATTGAACCTCTAACTTCTTACAAGTAACTTTGGGTACGTTTATGATTAATTGAACTGTTTTCTGCATATATCATTCTTTAGCACTATACAATATATGCTTTCTTGGAAAAGTGTATTCTTTGTGTATACTACAAAACCTAAAAAGGCATTACATGGGTAATTTATCAATGTCTATCCAATTAAAGTACTAATTGGATAATTTTGGGAGATGTTTAAAGTAGATGTTAGTAGCAGAATTTTAACAAATGGTTAATATCAGAAATAGAATTTACAATTTTTTCTTATTTTTAAAAATCCATTCAATCGAAAACTCACACACACATATATATATAGTCTATAATCAATGTTGTATGTCAAGAAATTAACAAACAAGAGAGTTTAGTGAATCTCCCCACTTGAGAAAGCAGATCAATAGGTCTTTATGTTTTCAGATAGATAGAATGTACTGTACAAAGCAGTCATTTGAGTATTTGAGCATTTAACTATCATTATTGTTGATGCATAGATGACAAGATACATATAGTATGGGAATCTTCACTTTGGTATGCAAAATTTTTCAATTATTTTTCACATCTTTGAAAGCTGTTGAATGGTAATGCTGAAGATATGATTTCAAACCATGAAAGCTTGAAAACTGTGTTATTGAGAGCAAAATGAATCCATATTCGCTATGAACATCACAGGAACCTGAAAACTGGTGAATATTGGGAAAACTAACACTAGCCCCTCCAAAAAAAGTTTGGAAAAGATGGGGCACTGGAGTTAGGTTAATAAGTTTAACACCAGAAGGAGGTACCAAGTTCACACACAGGCTATTTTAATAGCTAGAATTAGCATAAGATAGGACTTTCAAGCTGTCATGAGGTGAATGTGATGTCAAAACCAATGCTGATTAAGATATAAAGAGATTTGAATTTTTCACAATTTCTCTAAAATAATTTCTTTTATATGAAATAATTTGGGCTCACTGAAGATTTTTATTATAACACTATTATATGTCCTGAGTTCTGATTGCATACTCTATCACAATGTTTTTATAATATTTGATAGATTATAAATTCATAGTCATTTCTTACAATGATAAAACTCTCCCATTGTGGGAAAAAAGTAGTTTCTCTAATAGCAGATAGGAATTTCTTTTCATTATTTCTGATATTCAGTAAAGACTTTATTCACATTAAAGATTTTCCCAAAACTCACAGGACACCCCTTAGAATGTTTGTCTAGTTTAGTAACACATGGTTTTCTCTGATCTCTGATTTAAACTTCATTACGAAATTAATTATTTTCTCTCTAGTGTTTTTTTTAATGTAGCACAGGAGTTGAACACTGGTTAAACTTTTCCATAATCATCGATAATAGTCATAAGTTTTGTTGTTGTTGTTATAGTGTCTCTGGTACTGAATAAAGTTGGCAAATACACTAAAGGTTTTCCCACATTCATTGTATTTAGACTTGCCTGAAATGAATTTTCTTGTGACTAATGAGAAAAGAGCTAGCTAAAACTTCTGTCATGCTGAACACACATGTGAGGTTCCTCCCAATGTGGATTCTCTCGTGTTCAATAAGGTCAGTATGTATACTGAAGGCTTCACCATATGCATTACATTTATGTGATTTTTCACTACTGTGACTTTTCTGATGGTTAATGAGATCAAAGCATCAACTAAAGCTTTTGACACATTGATTACATGGATATGGTTTCTCCCCAGTGTGGATCCTCTGATCTAACAGCTAAGCACTAAAAGCTTTCCCACACTCATTACATTTATATGGTTTTTCTCCAGTGTGGGTCCTCTGGTGTTTGATAAGTTCTGAATTCTGACTGAATCTTTTGTTGCATTGCGTACAGGGATATGGTTTTTCTCCAGTGTGAAATCTTTGATGAAGACTAAGGTCAGAACTTTGACTGAAGTCTTTCTCACAACTACCACAATGATAGGGCTTTTCTCCAGAGTGTACTTTCTGATGTTTGGTGAGGTCTAAGTTTTGACTAAAACTTTTATTACACTGATTATATATGTATATGGCCTCTCTCCAGTATGTATTCTTCAATGTTTAACAAGATCTGAACTACGACTAAAGATTTTAGTATAAGAACAGCATGGATAGGATTTCTCTCTAGCGTGAATTCTCTGATGTAGAATAAGGTTTGAGCTCTGACTAAAGGTTTTCCCACAATCGCTGCATTCATAGGGTTTCTCACCTATATGAATTCTATGATATTTAATGAGATCTGAACTTTGACTAAACATTTGATTGCACTGCTTACATGGATAAGGCTTCTCTCCATTGTGAACTTGTTGATGATTAGTAAGATCTGAAAGTCTACTGAAGGTTTTGCTACACTGGCTACATGGGAATGTTTTGCTACACTGGCTACACTGGAGAATTCTCCAGTGTGAATTCTCTGATGTAGAATAAAGACTGAGCTCTGATTAAAAGCTTTACCACATTCATTACACTTACAAGGTTTCTCTCCAGTATGAATCCTTCGATGTTTAATGAGATCTGAGTTCTGACTGAAACTTTTGCTAGACTGATTACATGGATGTGGTTTTTCCCCAGTGTGTATTCTCTGGTGTATAATATCTGAACTCTGAAAGATTTTCCACATTCATTACACTTACAAGGTTTTTCACCAGTGTGGACTCGTTGATAAAGTCTGAACTCTGACCAAAACTTTTAATATACCAATTACAAGGGTAGAATTTCTTTCCAGTATGAATCCTCTGATGTAAAACCAGGGCTGAGTTCACAATAAAGGCCTTGCCACATTACCACATTCATAGGCCTTTCCACAATGGGTGTGTTGATGTCTAACAAGGCCTGTAAGCCAAGCAAAGCTTTGCCCACATTCTTCATAGTTATGCTTTCTTCTTTTAAAAAGCTTCTGGTCCTTTTCATTTACTTTATCCCCAAATTCATAGAATTCTTCATAATCAGAATCCTGGAGAACACTGTCACTGGGGTTCCCAGACTCTTCAGGGAATGGTTCAATTTTTCCTGTAATCTCCTCTTCTGAAGACATTTCTCCAACCTTGGTCCTAGTCTCACCATCTGGAACAATAAATAAAATCCAAATGGAATGTGTTGTCCATATTGTCAAAAAGTTTCAATGATGTAGAACCATATTTACCTATAAAATGTTGATGGGCACAGAGGTTAATTCTAAAAACCTTGGCTAATGGCTATTGTAAATAAAGTTGTAATGCACATGGGGGGGTGATCGTGATCTCCTCAAATTGTTTTTGCATTCTTTAGAAGTGGGATAACTAGATGTATAGAATTTCAATTTTTAATTTTGTAAGGAATCACCATACTGCTTTCCATAATAGGTGCACCAAATTACATTTCACTAGCAATATACAAAGGTCCTTTTCTTTTGACATCCTTTCCAATACTTGTTTCTTGTCTTTTGAGTAGTAATCATTCTCACAGATATGAAGTAATATCTCATTGCTGTTTTAATTTGCAATTACTCTTCTTAAAACAGTTGCTTTCTTCTTGTCAACTTACTTTTCTTCTTTTCTCCATATAATATCAGAGTGATCTTTACATGTCATTATTCCGTATAAAGAGATCCAATGGTACTAAGAATAAACTCCAACTCCTTACTGGAACTTCATCCCTTTTTTTCTTTCTGCTTTTATTTCATTCTACCACCACTCCTATCCTATTACCTAGCTACTCCAGTTACACTCTGTTGCTGCTATATCTAAGAACCTCTGGCATTTGCTGTTTCCTCTACTTCTTATAATTATTTACATGGCTTATTCTCTTACTTCATTTATATATATAGAGAGGCACAATGTTTACTGAGAGCTTTGAGGCATTTTTGAGGCAACAAATACCATTTGAATGTGTGAAAGTAACCTATATGAATAACTTGTAAGGTTGTTATTTTTGAGTTAGACTAACAGTTTAAAGAAAGGGGGTGGAGGGTTCTGCTGTAGGTTCAGGTTGTAATGCCAAGTTCTCTTGTTATGTGACCTTACTAGCCAGGATAACCAATTGTACTGGAAGTGTTTGCAGCAGTTAAGGATATTTTATGGAACATTTTGCAAGCTTCTATAAAACCACGGTGAAGTGAGGCCATACTGTCATCTGTCAATAATTTTCTATTTGAAAAGCTGATTTTGACTTGCTCTGAGGCTCTAATAAAGATCACAGAGCACCAAATGATTATTACAAACTGAGTGCTATGTACTAGTTGTTCCTAGGCCCATTCAATCACAGCATTGGCCATATAAACCAGTATTTCACCGTAAAAATATGTCTAGAAGATAAGCAAATTCCATGTGCTATGGGTTAGATTCCCACAGTACCTGTTCTGATTGCTCCACAACCTCTCCCCTTCACCTTATATTCATGGCCTCATGGGGATTTCCATTTACTAGCTAACAGAGGAGCAAAAAGTACAGAACTCGTTTATGGATGGACCTTTTCACTGTGACACTACTCAGGAGTGACCTCAAACTTACTGGTGATGACAAATCCTCCCAGATATACACCTGGTTGTCCACTTTCCATGGAAGACAACAGTCTAAGACACAGGTCTATATTGATTCATGGGTGGTGGCTAAGGGTTATTTGATTGGTTAGGTACCTAGAAAGAACAAGATTGGAAGACTGGAAATAAGGAATCTAGAGGACAAGCATGAGGGTGGACCCTTGTACCACTAAACTGGGCAAAGAACGAATTTATCTGTAACCCATGTGCATGCTCAGTAAAGGGCATCCACTTAGAGAAGCTTCTCAATAACAAGATCCAAATTATGAATGTTAACCAGACTTTTTAACTAATGTTTGCCCAGTGAACTTACTTACAAAGTAGTCTTGGTGGCAGGGATGGAAGCTGTGCATGGATTCAGCAATATGGCCCTCTATTGATCAAGGCTGATATGTCTAAACCACTGCTAAGTACCCAACCACTCCTCTGCTAAAGGCCAATAATGAACCCCGAAAAAGGTACCATTCCCTGGAGAAGAACTAGACAGTCCATGGGATGGTGAGGCAGCTTCACTATACTTGACCCCTTCTATTATAGAGAAGGTGGCAATTGTTTTCAAAAGACAAAATATATAGCCCAGACACAAATGTGCCTTTTGTGCAATTAAATTTGACCAAAAGTGGGAGAAGAATTATAAATGACCAAGTGTCTTGGTTTGCCTGGGGCACTAGGTACTTTTAAATCCTAGGCAGCTGGGTGAGGTGACCAACCAACATTCTGGTTCCCTTCTTGGTGGACTAGGAGATGGAACTAATTTATTTATTTATTTATTTATTTTAGCAAAGGCCACATCTCCTACTAAGCTGCTTTTCCTACAGCTACATTCTCTAGGATTTGGTAATAATCTCTCCCTCATAATTTAAGGCTTAATTATTGTTTACCCAACGTGGCTTTCTACCTTTATTGTTTTCTGAATCCTGTCCATCCTCTTATGAAAGTTGGGATTATACCATTCAAATGACCCATCTGAATCTTAACTGAAAGAATTCTAACTGATAATACTGATTTGTTTTTTCCAAAACTATCATCACTGTTACTATACCATCTGTTTTCAGTTTTCCCCAATAGAATGTAAGCTACTGGAGTGGCAAAGACTAGCTAGTCAGTTCACAAATATCTTCCCAGTGAACAGTGCCTGGCATAAAGCTAACTTTTCAAAAGCCAACACTTACATCATATTACTAGTAATAATTAACAAGCTGTGATTTTACTAGTAAAAACTTATTATTTGTTGAATTATTGATATGATTTTAAGAATATATTATTCATATCTGTAATTATTTTTAGTTGCTAAAGTTACAGGCCATTTACTTTTTTGTGTTTTTCTATATTTTATAAATGTACTTTATAACCATATTACTGTTGTAAATGTTATATATATTATTATAAGATGTTATTTTATATACTTTAAGAGACAAAACACATGTAAATGTGTATCAGTCTATGTAAAATTACAGGGATGAGGCCAATTTCATGGGAAAAATGAGAATTACATATCTTAGAATAGATTCTTAAAGACAGATAAACTTTAAATATAGGAAAGAAAAATTTGACAAAACAAAATAAAGATGCTCCAATACTAAATAAGGGGAGGAATCTGGGTAACAGAAAGGGACAACAGAAAGTGAATTTTATAGGTAAAATAGCAGCAATGGGAAAACCAAAATGAAAAGGAAGTAAAATGTAATGTGGAAAGGAGACCCTGTGAAACATCTGAACCAAGTCAGAATCAAAATTATCTTACTAAAAATAACAGTTGCTATCATTTATAAAGAATTTACTACCAGCCAGGTTTGTACTCCAAGTTTTATATACAGGATTTCCTTCAGTGCTTGTAGCAATTTTTGCAATAGTAACAGACCCCCAAATGAATCCTGTCTCCCCGTATTCTTGTATAATCCCCTCCTGCAATGACTCTGGTGACTTTCTTTGGTTAATGACATATTAACAAATGTAGCATAAACATAAATTAGAAAACCTATGTACCTGACGTCTTACCCTCTCTGATTTTGAAAACTAGCTTCCCCAAGAAGAAGTCTGGACTAGGGCCCTCTCTGGTGGCACAATGGTTAGGACACAACACTGTAAGCTTGTAGAGCTGCTTCAGTGCAAGCTTCATCCCAGCCCCTGAGGTGATCCACATGGCTCAGCAGACCTCTCTGGTGTGTCCGCTGCTCCCCTCAGCAGTGCCCTTCCTCAGTCTACTTGTTTTGCTCCCCACTCTGTCTCTGGTGATTCCTCTCACTTGGTGTATCTCTGGCCTGTACCCCAGTTCTGTATGCATAAATAAATATTTTTTTAAAAAAGAAGTCAGGACTAGCCTGCTGGAGGAGACATATTACCCAAGCATAGCCATCATCAATAGCAAACATACGTGATTAATACCACATTAGACCCCGGGCCTATTTGAAGCTCTAGGTAACTGCATGAACTGTCCTGGAAAAGACCAGGAGGAAGAAAAAAAAAAAAAAAACTAATATAGTGCAAATTATGACCTACAGAACCATAAGAAAATAACATGATTTAAACCTATCTCATGTTTTAGGTCACTAAGTTTTGAGGTCCTTTATTATGAAGTAATAAGCTTCAAAATATGAATTATACATGTATAGATTTAGTTATAAATTTATAAAAATTACAACATATACTTAAAACACAAGGGTAAAGAATTATTTAAAAATGTAAATAACTTACTGAAGTTAATAAATGGCAAAGCCTCTATAGCACACGAGATAGATGACTTGAAAAGATATTTTAAGGCAAATATCACACAGGGATGATATTTTGGTTATTGCAATAGGAAACAGATGATGTCAGGGAATGAAAGGAGAGGAGGAAATTCCATGAGAATTTGGTTGCCAGAATTCACAATAAGCTATGTGATTGTCTTAGCACAAGGTATGGTACTAACAGAGAGGCAGGCAATGTAGAATAAAAATAGCACTTGAAGACACTAACATAGCAGCCCCCACACTCTGAAATCACTAAGAAAGACGTAATTTACTCTCACCTGACAAGCTGGTGTTCTTGAGATTCACAATTGAACTGGGGCTGCAACCAAACATTGGGCACCTCAGGGAGCAACTGGAGAATTATGAACCACTTGCTCAGGAAGCTTTTCTTGTCCACGTAGGGGTTTGATACTTGGATGCAGCTGGGTACCAGTGGGCTTGGAAGGGAATCATTGTGGAGACTGGAGATGGAGTTTCTGAGACTAGACCACGAGAAACACCCTCTAATTAAAAAAGAAACAAAAGATGTTAAGGAGAAACGACTCATTAAATTCCAAGTGTTTTTTTCTCTGTATAAAACTTCTTTCCTCATCACCCAGAAATCAGGCCTACTCCTCTTGGCGCAATAGTGCATTCTCCATTCCCAGTCAAGAGGTCATAAACACAGCGTGACTAAAGTTACCAAAATAAGGATATAACTGAAAAAATAAAGGGAGGGAATTCTGAAATGTTTGTGCCGGCCATTAACACTAGGTTATTGGCCGCCCTTCCCTATATCAAACGACACTACTGACCCCACATCACATCGTATAAAGCTTTCCCTCCTTCCCTTCTTCCAACACTCATTCAGATTGCTCTGCCCCAGAACAGCCGGCTGATTCGATAGGTGTACCCACTCGTCCTGATTCCACCCGCCACCGCGTTTCTGAGTTGAACCCCAGCCTAACAGGGGTGCCCCAGGGACCAAGCGCGCCCTCTGCCCCGAATCAACTACTAGTGGTGCCTAGGAGCCGCGCGGGGAGAGACTCCGCTCCTGAGGCCTCGACTCTCCAACTCAAAAAACCACACCGAAGTGTGTGGCGGCGCTTAATATCCGCTCCTCAGGCGAAATCACCCGAACTCCTTCGTCTTGTGTGAGCCAGCATCAACCATACCTCAACGTGTTCTCCAGGAGCTGTCAAGCCTGACGCGGCGATTCGGTCACCGCTTCGTCCACTCTAGGAATCTGGGAGGATTGCTCAGCTCTATGGCGGGTTGTCTAGACTAGCACTTGCGCATGCGTGGGCTGGGGTTGCGGGGGTCGACGGAAGAGCTGCGTTGTGGCACCTGGTTTCCGGGCAGCAGTTCCCTTGCTGCCTTATTTGCGGCTTTTTCCTGTCGGAAAGTATCATCGTTTGGGAAAGCTTTCTGGGCGTAGATTCTGCGACGATGAATTCTTCTTTGGTTATCTTTCTTTCTTTCACACTCCTTCTAACAAATGTGCTTCCCTTCTTTCTCCCAGTGTCTCAGATAAAATCATAAGCAATCAAAATAGTGAGCACACCCAATAAAGCTAAAAGTTTCCTCTTTCCCCTTGGTTATCTGTGTATCGCCTTACACAATCCCAACCACTATCATCTTTTTCAGTAAATTAGTTTGTATTTTCTAGAGATTTATTTAAGTAGAATCATACAGATTGCACCGTTATCTGGGTCAGACTTCACACTAATTTTGAGGTTTTTCTAGATTAATGTTGTGGTAGTAATTCATTCCTTTTTGATGCTGAGTCAACTTAATGTACGTATTATAATTTGTTTATGCATTCACCAGTTGATGGGTATTTGGGTTATTTCCAATTTTTATTATTACAAATAAGCTGCTATGAACATTTGTGTACAAGTTTTTATATGGACATATGTTGTTTTCTTTTATTATAGGTATATGTCTGATTTTTTTAAAGGTTTATTTATGCATACAAAAACTGGGGTACAAATGAGGGGAGGGGGTTGGAGGTGAGAGGATTCACCAGAGACTGAATGGGGAGAACATGACCATTGACTGAAATACACTGCTGAGGGGAGCAGTGGCAGGGACAGGAGAGGTCTGCTGTGCCATGTGGGTCACCTCCCTGAAAAGGAACGGACCTTTGTTGCAGTCACTGCAGACAGCCACTCTAGGTACACTTTAGCCCATTTCACCACCTGAGAGGGCTCCCCTGTATGTTTAATTTTTTTTTAAAGATTTATTTATTTGTTCATACAGAGCTGGGGTACCGGCCAGAGGCTCAGGGGCGGTGAGAGGATTCACCAGAGACAGAGTGGGGAGCAGAACAGGCAGATCTACAAAGTACACTGCTGAGGGGTGCAGCAGGGGGTCAGGAGAGGTCTGCCACACCATGTGATCACCTCCCGGGGCAGGCGGGAATCGAACTCATGGGGAAGTAGCTTTAGCTTCTCAGTGCTGTGCTTTAACCTGCTGCACTACCAGGGAAGGCCGATAAGTTTAATTTTTAAAGAAACAGCTACTCAGTTTTTTATTCTCAGGTATAAAACCAATAGCTCACCCACCTATATTCTTCCTGAGTGCCATTTCCTGCTGGGGGAAGCTGGGCCAAACTAACCATTTTGCATTCCTATCAGTAGTGTATGAGGATGGCACAGCTGACACACTACTTTTATTAGATTTGACTAAAACAGACTGAGAATCTTAACCAAAAGTTAATACAGATGTACAAAAGTAGAGGGCTTTTACTAACCTTTTACTCAGGAGTGTGAATATAGATTTTCTGGGAGTTTAACCAAGGGAACCAACTTCTAGACTATATTACGTTTGTTGCTTTGTGACATTTTACCAGTGATGTCTGTATATGAGTGTGGAAAGTCAGCTTGGAGATGAACAGTTTGTTGGATTGGCCAAAATATACAGACCCAGCTATAGCCTATACCAGATGACACTGAAGGTAAAAGGAATTCAAAGGATTCCAGAGAAAGGAGTGTTAGTATAGGCGTGAGAAATGATAGATTCTCAGGTATAAAACCAATAGCTCGCCCACCTATATTTTTCCTGAGTGCCATTTCCTGCTGGGGGAAGTTGGGCCAAACTAACAGATTTCTGATGAAGCACAGATTCTAAAGTAGTGATTCTTAATCCTTTTGAGATGTGATAAAAACTATGGACATTTTTCTCAGAAAGTTGAACATAAAGATGTACATGTGAACATTTGTTTATCGTGAATTACAGTATCCTGGAAATTAATTTCCTTTGATACTTAGAGTACATAATGAGTTTTCACAAATAATGAATTTTAATGTAAAAATCTCCAGTTCCAAATACATAATAAATCCGAATTGTAAAGTCACATTAAAATTTTTTAACTTTCTTTTGAGCAAATAAAGGCTGCTGCTGCTTGTTTTAAATAAGACATTATGGACAATATGATAGCTTTCACATGTTACAATGTGCACATCCAACATTGATTTTGAATTTAAAAATCAGAACCAGCGTTGACAACTCTTCAGAAAAAGAAATATGGCATAATGAGAGTTCTTCCCATGGTTTACATTGACAGGGAGGGTTAGCTTTATATCAAGAAACACCAGAAAATTCCCGAAGATTTTCGTGGGGAGTTGAATTGTGATCAGAATATTCATTTATTTTTTAATCCTCAGTGCAATCAGTTTGAAAAGCAACCAAAAACCAAATCGCAACAGTTTAAACAACTCTTGAGAGCACAATGTAAGAGAACATTATTCTGCTCTTCACCCACTCTGCCCTGTCCCCCAATGCCCCAGGACTCTGGCCAGTGGATCCCCTGCCTTGTACCTTAGTCACTCCATGACAGAGATCCTTGTCCTGTGCAGACATTCAGCATGTTTGTGGCAGGTGAATGTGGTCTGCTTCTCTCCTTCCATAATTCTGAGACAGTAGGTTCTATTTTTATCTCTTAGATGCTATACCAAGCTACTCGTCCCCCCATCCTCACACAAGCCCCCTCTCTGCCCTCCCCTCCTTTCTCCCTTTCTGTCACTTACCCCAGCCTCCCCATCTATCTCTAGCATAATCTATCTCATCCATCCATCCATCCATCCATCCATCCATCCATCCATCCATCCATCCATCCATCCATCCATCCATCCATCCATCCATCCATCCATCCATC